CCCACATGGATTAGGACCATGGGGTAGTAATTGGTGGGCTGGATCATGGCCTGGATCATCCCCATCACGTCCTGACTCTGCTCTGGGCAGGCAGTAGACCTTGCGTGTTGAGGGGTCCTGGCGACAGATGGGGCCCTCTGTACCTCTCAGGATGGAATTGCCTATGACGATCACTCGATGCTTCTTCCTCCGGGACTGCTTAGCTCCAACAGCCTGTTTGGACCGTGGAGAGTGTGGAGTTGCCTCCTCTCTGGTTGCCTCCTCTCCTTCCTTCTCCAGTGTTTCCAGGGCCTTGTACCTGTTTTCCAGCCAGACTAGAGGAACTAGTACTGCTTTGCTGCGAGCAGCCCTGGTTCTGGAGGTGACAGTCTGCCACTCAGCAGTGGAGGACACCTCCCGGGGTGCTTCTTCCTTGGGTGCATGGCCCTGCAGGGAAAGGAAATAACCATCTATTTCATCCTCCGGCTCCCTGATTCCCCTTAGCCTGCTAACCTCCTCCTGGAGCTCCCTCACCTGCGCCTCCAGGGCCCTAAGGCAGGTGCCTGCAGGACAGATGTGGGGGCCCCCAATCCCTGCCCCCCTGGCCTTGCTGGGCTTCCCCCACAGGCTGGGGAGTGGGGGGATGCCAGCTCCCCCATGGGCTCTATCTGGGTGGAGGCCTCAGACAAGCCCCAGGTAGGCTGCGCCCCCTGGGCAGGTGCCCTAGCAGCACTTCGCATCGACACCATCATATGAATTGCTGTTTGTAGGTTAGTGCAGTGCCTTCACCCTACCATAGCAGGAGTCTCCCTCCTGGCCCTTCGTGCCTGTCCGCCGGCGCAAACACCAGCACGCTCTTACAGAGCAAGCCTGTTTGCGCACTCTGTTCTCACGGCACGGTTCAGGAACATGGCTCCCTACCAGCTCAGCTAAAAGGGATTTGGGGGGCTTCCCCTCTTGACTGGCTCAGGTGTCTGGTCCCTCTGCCCCACTTAACTTAGGGGGATCAGTTGATGCTGCCCCCACTGCTGGTTCCGCTGCTGCTACGTCCGCCTCCACCTTAGGTCAGGTAAGGGGGCACACGTGTGTGCAGAACGCACGTGTGCCTAATCCCTCCTCTCCTCCCTGCTCCTGGCTCCTGAGTGCTGGAGGCTACGTCAAACTGTGACTTTTAAAGGCCACGGTTTGGAATTCTCGCGCTGCCCCAACAGCCAATCAGGCACTCGGGTCTTCCCGGAAGTGCCTGCCATCAGTCCCAGCCCTTATGTTCCCCTGCTGCAGGGATCTGGTGCCTCTGGAGTCTGCTCCCAGAGGGTTAACCCCGGGGGTGCTCCCTAGCATGGGGGGACAGTCCCCCCTAGCCCACCCCCTGTTTGCATGCTCTGTTCACGTGGCGCAGCTCAGGGGCGTGGCTCCCTACTGGCTGAGCTAAAAGGGATCCGGGGGGCTTCACCTCTGGATCTGGCTCTGGTGTGTCCGGTCCCTCTACCCCACTTCCCTTAGGGGGATCAGCTGATGCTGCCCCCGCTGCTGCTGCGTCTGCCTCCACCTTCATAATACTTACAGCTTTCTGTTTGGGTCATATTTATTAATATGGCTTGTCAGCTGTTGATAGCTTTCAGCGAAAGAATGCTGATTAGAAGGCATAAGCAAACATATTCTCTACATCAGAGTCTTAAGATAAAAGAAAATGAATTGGTTCAGCTTTCCAGTGCACTATACAAACCCTGAACCTGGTGTTAACTAAATTGTACCATTTAAACAAAGATGAGTATGCTTTAAAGATGTAGTAAGTGGTTCTCAGACTTTTAGATGCAAGGCACCCCTTGCTAGACTCAGCAGTCCTCAGAAAATGCCACTTCCTGGTTCACGCATTTTTGACCATAGAAAAATGAGAGAGCAGTATTTCCATTGCAAAGAACTCAGAAAGAGAACAACAGATCAGAATGTTTCTAACATTATTAAGTCCTATTTGAAATCGCTAGGTTTATCTCATGAATCATATTTACACACTTAACAGTGCTAACACCCTGGGATACCCTTGAAAGGATGTCAAGGCACCCCAGTGCCATGGCACATAGATTGAGAATCATTGATGTAGTAGTGTCTGCAAGTTGCAACTGGGCAGGGCTTGTAAAAGTACAGGCCTTATTGCGTCAATAAATACTCCCTAAATAACTTAATGAGCAAAGGGAAAATTCTAAATGGGGCACATTGGTGCAGTGTGTATGTTCACCCCTATTGTACAGGTTGTTCTTCTTTTGTTTCCAAAGTGACTTTAAAGAATATAGAAAAAAAAGTCTAATTCTCTAATTGAACTCTTATGCTGGGTTGAACTCCCAATGGAAGAAATGGTTCTTCATGTAACACTATAAAGAATTTTTATTGCATATATTACTAAAACAGAATTTTTTTCTTACTGTAACCCATAAACCTCTTCTCTTTTGTCTCCTCACAAAGGTATTTAAAAGATCTAATTACTATAGATTGTATTAAACTTGATTAAAAGTTACATAGATAATAAAGTGACAACCTGAGCTTTAAATGGCACAAGAAAGCTCTCTATCAGGAACTGCAATTCTTTGCATTTTGATTGTATATTCTACAGCCATACTTGTTTATGATGTGTGTGAAAAAAGTAAGAGACAGTTACACAGGAATGCATTAGATGAACAAGTCCATAGAAGGATCAGCAAACATGTAATTCACCTTTAATACTGAATCACTGTTGTTCATATATTTTTATTCTGACCTTGTACACTCTGCATTTAAGAAATCCTTAATGGAAGAGAAATTGTACTTCACTAAGAATGGAGTCTATTATTATGTTTGCTGTTGTTTATTTTAAAAAACAAATATTAACTGGAGTTCTGCTGATTAAGAAAGAGGATTTGTAAAAAAATTACTGTAAACCATCCTTGAATGCATAATAACTTGCTTTATTCTCCTGGCCAAAATAAAGCTATAAATCACATGGAATGTTTAGGCAAAAATTGCTTCCTGTATACCTAATGCATGAAAGAGGCAAGGATTTCTTAGGGTGA